TTTACTTTGTGGCCATTTTGTGGTTTTGAAGTTTCTGCCTGTACTCCCCAGACCCCATCGATGATATACCTCTAAAATTCTTGTTTCACATTTTCAGTCACAGATGCTATTTAAAATTGTTCTATCTCCCCCAGGAAGTTTGCGTGTATCAATCTACCCTTCTACTGCCTTTCCTTCATCTTCTTGGGAAGATTTTGGCTTTTCTAAGCCTTCTTAATGCAGAAGTATTTTTTGCAACCGCAAAGTCTCAAACGTCTGTCAAATGCTGCTGCTTAAAGATTTTTCAGTATCTGCGTTCTTTACTCTGAAATTGATCATTTATCTTAAGTGTCAGGAACAAGAGACTCTTGCAATATCTGCATCAAACTCTTCTTTCCGTAGCTCTGTGACAAAATCGGGAAAAAAGTCACACACGGGGTCTTCAAAAAGTTCACAGAAAAAGCATATCGTTAATATGACGAAATCTTGCATGGATTTTAAATTTTTTTTGGCATCAAAATAAACTTGTACATCAATGCCACTTTTTCGCAGACTTTTCGAAGTCCCCTCATATTTGCATTTGGGCTTTTAGGATATTATTCCTACCACCAAATGATGCTGAGAATCCACACAGATGGGCTGAATTGCTGCCTTACTTGTTGACCACATTGGTCCACTTTGGCTTTAGGGAAACTCCTTCTCTGTGATCTTGGTTGAGGCACATGGCTGTTAAATACATAGAGCATTATTTTTCCCTCAGACTCTCCTACTCACCCTCATCCCTAGTACTTCACCCCCATTAAGCTTCCTCTGCAGTCTAGGTAAGATCAGGGTGGCTGGCTTTGCCTACCCAGGGCAGGTCCGCTGCCTCAGTGACCGTGGGAACCAGACCCAAGCCTGTCCTTTTCACACCACCATTTCATTGGCAGCCCCTTCCAGACCGACAGGCTCATTTCATTTGCGACCTTGTCTCCCTCTTTACTCTTCAGGGAAAGCGTCGAGAAGAGACACTCCAGCCATCCTTCACCAGCACCTATCCTCCCGGTGAACGCCCTGGGACATAACCGCAGCTCCACTGAACAGATCAGGGGTCATTTGAACACTGAGGCTCGCGAGAAAGACAAATCCAAAGAGAGGGAGAGAGACCACTCAGAGTCCCGTAAGGACCTGACTGCCGATGAGCACAAGACAAAGGAGGGCCACTTGCCTGAGAAGGAGGGGCATGGCCATGAGGGGCGTGCCGTGGGCGAAGAGGCCAAGCAGCTGGCCCGGGTGCCGTCGCCCTACGTGCGGACCCCCGTAGTGGAGAGTGCCAGGCCTAATAGCACCTCGAGCCGGGAGGCTGAGCCACGCAAGAGCGAGCCGGCCTACGAGAACCCCAAGAAGAACTCAGAGGTCAAGGTGAAGGAGGAGCGGAAGGAAGACCACGACCTGCCTCCGGAGGCCCCACAGACCCACCGGTCTTCAGAGCCACCTCCTCCAAACTCCTCGTCCAGTGTACACCCGGGGCCCTTGGCGTCGATGCCCATGACGGTGGGGGTGACAGGCATTCACCCCATGAACAGCATCGGCAGCCTGGACAGGACTCGCATGATGACCCCCTTTATGGGCATCAGTCCCATCCCGGGTGGAGAGCGTTTCCCGTATCCTTCTTTCCACTGGGACCCCATACGAGACCCCTTGAGGGATCCTTACCGAGAACTGGACATTCACCGGAGAGACCCGCTGGGCAGGGACTTTCTGCTAAGAAATGACCCACTCCACCGTCTCTCGACTCCCCGGCTGTATGAAGCTGACCGCTCCTTCAGGGACAGGGAGCCTCATGATTATAACCACCACCACCACCACCACCACCACCCTCTGTCTGTGGACCCCCGGCGGGAACATGAGCGAGGAGGCCACCTAGATGAGCGGGAGCGTTTGCACATGCTCAGAGAAGACTACGAGCACACGCGGCTCCATTCTGTCCACCCAGCCTCCCTCGATGGACACCTCCCCCACCCCAGTCTCATCACTCCGGGACTCCCCAGCATGCATTACCCCAGAATCAGCCCCACCTCAGGGCACCAGAACGGACTCCTCAACAAGACCCCTCCCACAGCAGCGTTGAGCGCACCTCCCCCGCTCATTTCCACGCTGGGGGGCCGCCCTGTCTCTCCCCGAAGGACTACTCCTCTGTCAGCAGAGATCAGGGAGAGACCTCCTTCCCACACGCTGAAGGACATCGAAGCTCGATAAGGAGAGAATAGGAGCACGGACGAGAAAGACGACATCCTGAGCAAACACAACCCATGACTGTAAAGAGAGAACTCCTCCTCATTCACAGACTGGGGTGAAAGGCCCCACCTCTTCCCCTTGTAAAAAATGTACAGACTCAGTGCAGATTTTGAAATGTTTTTGTATATTATATGTTGGAATTTTTCAGATCTTTTAGCCAAGTCATATGTTCTCATGTCTCCTCCTCTTTTTGTTTCTTGTATGAAACTTTTTGATTTGAATGAAAACAGTGAAGATGATACACACCAATTTGATGATAATTTGGCAGGGGGAGTCCCACCATCCATCATGCAAAGCTCTTTCAGATGTTAAGGGAAGGCCGTTGTATATAGTTATGTAAAAAAAGATTGCTTCATGAGCTAATGGTTCATATATGCAAAAGGGTAAGATGAAAGCTTTACTTTGTACAAATGTAAATAGATAAAGATTAAGTAACATAATACATTAATACTTCTTAAAATGTGCTATTTGCAAACTTAATATCAGTGAACACAGTCTGCTAAGGCTGTGTTCCCATATATTGTTATAGACAGCTAAACCCTTCAACTATGCAATGAATGTTAGGGCTTTTCACAAAAGCCCGCCTAACTCAAAGGAGCCTTTTCAAATCCATTTACAACATACTTAAGGTCATATTTTCCCTGAACAAGCTCTTACGTGATATGACTCTGTTTTCCTTGCTTGTTTTCTTTCAAATGGAGAAACATCCTGTTTTGCAAAATGGACCCCAGGCTGGAACTTTGCATCTGAAGTTGCCGCTTGTGGGCTTTGGGGAGAGTGCAACCCCAGGAAGGTAACTGAGGACATGAGCGACCAGTGCCAGGGAGGATGGGATTTGTCAGATGCCAAAATCAGGGGACGGGTTGTGGTGTCTGTGAGACACAAACAGGTCGCCAGAATCCTGTCACCATCAGTCACATGATTTCACACACACCTCATGTGGGAACCATGCCTTTTTTAGTGTGTCCTGTTTCACATCTGTACACACTTCCTTGTTTTGTAATGCAATTTAATTACACCCAAACAGATCCTGAAAGAAAGCTTCAAGTTTTCTCAGATGATGGATATGTTTTCACTGTATTCAATAACTGACGAATTTAAGGTGCACATTTTCCCAATGTGACTCACTGTATTCCAGTTGGTAATAAAGTCTGAGAATAGCCGCAACAGGCCAACCTTGTGGGGCTATTGACAGTTACAAAGGGTGAGAGGTGGCAGAGAAGTCTTGTGTGTGCGTGTTTTTGAGTTTGCATCAATCTTAATGTCTCTTCATAATACTTTTATAATACATTAAGCCTCTTGTCTACATATTTGGAGAGAATATGACTTTACTAGCAAAGAAATACAATATATCTTGTCTACTGGACTGTAAAATATATGTATGAAATAAAATTAGTTCCATTTGGTCTTCTAGTATATTAAAGTGCTATCTGACGTTGTTATCCTGTTTTTGCAAAAAAAAAAAAAAGTTAACTACAGACCATTGTTTCTAATAAGCAGAGAGATCTATTTTAGTAGTAAACTGAAGGTTTAGTTGTGAGCTTCAGATTTTTGTGAACTCCAGATGTTGTGCAGTGTTTTTTTCTTTCTTTCTTTTTTTTTTTTTTAAGACAACAACTTAAAAAAATCCGAGGAATATGTACACTGGAACTGTAGTGGTAGCTTTCAGTATTGTAAAGAGATTGTTCTATACAGACCTTTTTGCTGTTTATCCTGTATGTAATAAAGTCCTTTCTAGATCCTATGTGAAAAGAAAAGTGAAGCAACTGAATCTTCAGCATGTTCTCATCGGCGGAGCCTTCTTGTGTAATGTAAACTGTGCCATGTTATTAAAAAATGTGAACTAAGCTTCCAGCTGCTTGTTTGTGTGAGATGGCCATCATTACCTTAGGGAAGAAGCCATACTTGTGCAAAGACTTGGCTCTCGAACAGACACACCGTGAACCCAGCCTGGGTGAGAACTGAAGGCTCACCCGCCGTGGCTGGCCACCCTACCTAACTCAGTTAGGGACCCACCAATTAGTTTGTGTAAACATTTGCGCCCCACATAGTCCATGGTGGGCTTTTTTTTGGTTTTGTTTTGGTTTCTTGGTATGTTCTGGAGAAAATACTGTAAAAGTCACGGGAAGGTACTTTGCATTTTGTAGATGAACATATGTGTGCGTCAAGTTAGCAGGTGCTGTTGATGTCTCAAGCCTCGTTCATAACTCAAAGCTTTATCAGCCTTGATGAAAAATCTGATGGAGGGCCTGTGACAACAGGTTTTGCTTACTTGTTCTTTTACATTTCAATTTGTGGACTCCGTTGTATGTTACTTACGACTGTCCCAATATTTTTTTCCTGTCTTGACTTTTTCTGTGTCTCTGAGTTCTGTGGCTTATCCTTCATCCATTTGCAGACTTCTCCCTGTCCTCTAAAATCTGTTTTTGTTTTTACAAGATGTAAAAAATTGTTAAATTTTCTTGTATTAACCTGATGAAATCACTGTTTGGATGAGATTGTTTGGATCAGTGTCTGTACTTACTGGGGGGAAAATCCACAGTTCACGTTAGCAGGATCTAGGCAGCTGCTGAGTGGGAAGTATTGATAGGGATGGATGCAAACAGAAGTTGGGGGCTCTGCTGCTGAGGTGGGAGAGGGCTGTTGTCTCCTGTGACTCCACTCATGGGAAAATGCAGGGGCACAAAAGAAAATTCTCCCAGTACGGGCTTGCAGACATAAAGCTAATGACGGGCACAGCAATGACTGCTTGAAGGAAGGCCCACTTAACACTCGTTTTTAAATGTTAATACCGGACTCCTAGACTGGAAAACATACTGAAGACAGACTCTAGTGGGTTGGAAAACATGGTAAACACTGTGTCTTTCCAATCAGGCAATTCCTGGAGCCTTATAGACAATATTGGCATCTTGATTTGCTGTTTCTGGCAGACTGTCTATTGTACACCTATTCTGGATGTCGCCATCTGCAATGTCGGGATGTGGAAGAGTCACACTCTCAAATCAGTCACGGTATTTAATCCCTGGGGCTTTATTCATCTCAACCTTTGCATATTTTCCCTCTAATTATGTTCAGCTCCTCCGCATTGATGGGTACCAGCACCAATCTGATTTCCTGCTAACCTATAGATGCTCTAATTATCTCCACAATCTTTGACTGACAATGATCTTGTTACCTTCTAATGGTACATGACAAGTAAAATAGCGAATATAATGATGCAATAATTACCACGTTGGATGGGTATTTGCAACAGCATTTGCTATTTATTCCTTTTTCTGCCTCAATCAAGGTGGATGAGAGGAAATAAGATGTGATTGTTGATGTTATATACATACATAGCATAAAAAGTTTAAGAAAGAATTTTGCAGTGCAATTAACCGTGCAATTGTGGCATACTAAAGACCTCTTATGTATTGGTATGCATACTGAAAATGAATTAGGCCTCAGTGGCATTGAACCAACTAATGGAAAGAAGACATCAAAAGTGACACAAGCTTTTTCATACATTACTTTTTAAATGATGCCATCACTTTTTTCTTTCAGTAGAATAATGTTCTTTATCAAATAGGAAATTATCAAAAGCTGTCAATCCGGCAGTATGAGATTGTTGGTCTTCCTTTGCCACTCTCACAGGTATAAAGCCAAGGTTTTGGTGGCTAGTCTGAAATGCTAGAAGCTTCTGATAAAGAAGCTCAGTGGGAAGGAGCCCTTGGGCCAATGGTCTCGGCATGGATCCATCCCTCATCCCTCATGTGACTTCCGGCAAACACAAAGCCTCTCTGGAACTCAACTTCTCAGTGAAAATAATCAGACAATCAGAACATAATGAGGCCTAAACTCAAGAAGGTTGGCAGCCTAATACGTCAGCACAGATGGAACTTTGTTGTGTGCAGTTCCAGGGCTGATGAAAAACTGCAGACTGGGTAGGCAATGACCCACACAAAAGGGGGATTTTTTTTTTTTCAAACCAGTTCCAATTACAGTATGGAGATCCTTGCTAAAGATCTTTGAAACATTTGGAAAGACTGAAGATAGTGGGTTAATGATTTTAGAGTAACTCAGGTGCTTCCCACCTGGTGGGAGGGTCTAGTTAGAGCACCCAGGGTGTTGTCACAGTCAGGATCTTGACCTGCTATTCTACCCAAAATGTTTAGTGATTTCCTGATGCATATAAAGTGAGGTTCACCCTCTGAGTGAGTTCTTAGAAATCTAAATATGTCCTGGAAGAACATTGATCCAGAAGCCTTCAAAGCTTGTGTTTGTGTCCGAGGCAGGTAACAGGCAAATAGACTTTACTTTCCTCATCTGTGACTCAAATTTATTGACTTAACACTTAAAGGCTTCTCCAAACTGCTTGGGTTTTGTATCTGTTGGACCTTGTGTTACTTCTTAAACCTTGTTTACATATTTACATGGTTTGTTCTCTTCCACATTCAACTCAGCCCTTCCTGTTCGGAGATTCTATAAGGTCACATCTCTACTGGGACCATCAGCTCCTCAGGGCAAGGCTTTGGACTGGATGTTCTAGGAGGGCAGACACAGCCCTGGCTTTCATACCCTTTTGACTGTAACCCACACACACCAACATACATTAGAATTCCGTACACATGCACACACACACACACACACACACACACACACACACCCCACACACCAAAAACAATTTATAAAAAACTATCTTTATGTACACCAACATACATTAGAATTCCGTACACATGCACACACACACACACACACACACACACACACACACACCCCACACCTGAAACAAATTTGATGAAACCATCTTGTTATGGGCAATGAACTCAGCTGATTGTCTCATTCTATTCTCTTCTAGTTCATTTTTAAATGCTGATTACAACCCACTATTTCATCCCATGACTGCTGTGAATCATGAGTCTTAGACATGAGTTTTTAAAAAATGTATTAGGAAAGAAATCCACTAGGTTTTAAAGGAATAAGAAACAGGCTAAGGATCAAGGCTGTTTTCTGTTCCTCAGACCTACTGTCTTCCCTACCCCACCCTTCAACACTGCTGCCGGTGCTAATCGCATCTCTTCCAGGTCCCCAAACCATCCTTAAAGAGACCACACAGGGTAAGCCCAGACTTCTCACTTGGCCTTCAAGGGGTCAACATCTTTAAGGCATAGAGACCTGTGAGCTTCTCCTCCCCCAAATGCCATTCCCAGTCCATATGGGGCACTCGTCCACCTCTTCTCCATCCAGCAAACTCATGCTTTGAGATACACCTCAAAGGACTTCCCCTCTGCAAAGCCCCCACTGATTGCCACTTATTCCCCTGTCAAAAGTTAATTCGTTCTCAAAGTGTAGTCCTGGGACCAGCAAGTTAGAAATACACATTCTCAACCCCCCTCCTCCACCTTTGTGAATTGACATCCAGTGATTTGTATCTTAACAAGCCTTCCAGTTGATTGTGATACGTAATCAAGTTTGAAAACCTTTGACTTAGACTACAGAAAAAAAAGATCAAGGCAAAGGTCTAGTCAAAAGCTACAAAACGAATCACCAATTAACATAGATGATCCTGGGGGAAAAGCTGTGTTGTCTGACTTTCCAGTCTGAGCCTTGATTCTGCTGGATCGTAGAGGTTATAACCTTATTTGAACCAAAATAACATTTTCTGCTTCCATGTCTGTCTGGATTTCTTTCTAGAGTATTGTTGCTAATTCATGCATTGATACTGATAGTAGTATGAAATGGGCAGAGAAGTTTGCCTCTTTTGAGTAATAATGATAGCTAATGTGAACTGAGTGCTTTTTGCATGCCAGGCAGTTTCAAGTGCTTTTAGCCAGATTCTCTCTCTTAATACTCTCAATGTCATGAGGAAGGTGTAACCCCGATTAAACAGCTGAGAAAAATAAGGCAGAGAGTAATTTGCCTGTGTTTAATTGTATACCTAGATACAAACCTGGGTACTTCTCTAGAACCTGCACTATAACCACGGTCTGCGCTACTGCACAGAAACTGCCTGCTGAGTCAATTAGCCTCCAGCAATTGCAGGGACATCATTTACACACTTAACACTCGCTTGGAATTAGCACCATGTATATTCCAGAAACTGCCTGCAATGAATGGACAAATGAATGAAACGGAGGATTGTGCATGGCCCAGTGATCAGATTATGCTGTGAGCCAAGTATTATAACAAATTCACTCTATACAACTAAGATTTACTTTTTTTGAAAACTAGTGCCTTGTCTGGTTCAAAGGAGCCCACAGACATGTTTTGTTTGGCCAAGATTGTTTAGAATCCAGACATTTATGTAGGCAAACTAGAAATTGTGACCCTACTAAGGCCACCTTCTTGAGGGGTCAGAGCTCCTGCAGCCATATCCTTCCCAGTGTCCCATCTGACACCCTCTACATGGTCACCTTATGCATTGACTGAATTGGTATGAGCAGGTGAGTTTGTAATGATGGATACATGGAAATGGTTAATACGAAAGTGCTCAGAAACAAAGTATGAAGAGACTTGAAAAAAATTCGTGGAAAAATGGAATTAAAGTTCAAATTTATTTTGGTGCAAAAAATTGAAATCCATGCAGTTTTCATCGTAATGTACATTTTCCATGAACTTTCAGAAAACCCTAATAGTCTCACATTTAAGTAAAACTCAAGAAGTTATAGTCAATAAAGCAAGTCCTTTAAAGTCATAAACCACCCATTCAGATAGGCCTTTCTCTGTGTAAATCTGTAATAATGTGACTAGAGATGCCATCTGCTGTAGCTCACACACACCCCTAATCGCAACAAAAATCCATTAATCTGTTATCAGGAGTGGCATAAATGGATATCTGTATTGACAAACAGCGAGGCTGTCTTGACCA